CCTTGTTTCCGCGACGCTTCGACGTGCCGCGGGCGGCGGTCGCGGGCGGGGTTCGCCCCCCGAATTTCCGGCGCGCGGGCGGGGCGACTGCCCACGTGAACGCATGGCGCGGCAGCGTGCTTCTTATAGGGGGGGGGGGCCTTCGGGCACGCTGCGGATCGCCCCCTCGCGGGCGCCCCGCGCCCCGCGGGGGAGCCAGGCGGAAGGCGGGCGTCGGTCTGGGACCGCCCGCGCCGCGGGCAGCTGGAAACGTTTCGCCCTAGCTGCAGCATCCGAGCCACGCCAGGAGGCGATGGGCGCACACGACTTGACCCTGCCGCGACGTTCGCAGAGCCATGGGCGCCCATGGCGTCGGCTGCTGCCCGCGTGTCGCAAGTTGATCTGCGGCAGGATGCAGTGGATTATCTGTTCGCCCAGTGCCTCGACGGCGGGCGCGTCAGCTCGCCTGGCGCCCTGGAGGCGGGTTTTGCTTCTTTGCGGAATCCCCGAAGGCGAACGCGCCAGTTTGCCCGGCGCCGCGAAGGCAGGTTTGTAGGTTTGCTCGGGGCCCGCGGGCCTCCAGCAGCCGAGTGGCCGTTTGCCGCGGCGTTTTTCTTTTCTCGCCCGCAGGCGGGCCCCGCAGCTGCAGCGAAGACGACCAGCTCGCAGTCAGGTGCTTGCCCCCTCCCTCTCGCGCGCCGTCTCCGCGGCGTTCCGACGCGCGACGATGGGGCGGAGTTTCGGTTGCGTTTGCAGGGCAGCTGTCCGCGTCAGCGACGCGCGCGACGAAGTTTTCTTTCAGGGAGCCTCTGGTCTGGGGGCGTCGCGGAAATCCTCTCGGGCGCGTCGCGGCTTCCGCCGGGCGCTGGCTGTTGCCGCCCGTCGCCGCGCAACCGCTGCTCGGGGCTGCCCGAGCCGCGCGGACTGCCCTTCGCGCTGGGGTTGCTCTTTCAGGTCGTTTCTATGGCCACTGGCGCGCGTTTGCGCAATGGGGGGGGCGCGCGCCATGCAGGTTCTCCCCGCGGCGACGCACGTGCCTTCGCTCGCGTGCCCGCGCGCGCCCGCGTCGTCGTGGCGCGCGCGTTCGGAAATGATGCTTTGTCTTTTTCCAAGAAGCAGAAACCAATGCTCGCAATGAATACTGATACCTGGCAGCCCCTGTGGGCGGACCGAGGAGGAGGAAGGGAAATAGGGAGGGATGGAGGGAGGGAGGGGAAGATAAGGCGGGCACCAGGAGAATGAGGAGGACAGGGGCGAGGGTGGAGGAGGATGGCGATGAGGGATGGTGAGGAGGGAGGAGGGGGAGGAGGATGAAGAAGGGAGATGCGGTACGGTGGAGGCGTTCGTTACTGAATGTTCCCCAAGGGCTGTAGACCCTGGGGGATTCCTTATGCAATGCGGGCGGTGGTGATATCCATGGCCGATCCACGATTGGACTTCCACTGGCTTCCAGACCCTGGATTCCTGATCTGAGGGTTCCTTACCCAGTACCCCCACCGTAGGATCTGTTGCGAGGAGGAGGAGGAGGAGGAGGAGGAGGAGGAGGAGGAGGAGGAGGAGGAGGAAGAGGAAGAGGAAGAGGAGGATGTGGAGGAGGAGGAGGAGGAGGAGAAGGAGGGGCGAGGTATACTGCAATCGTGGATGAGGGAGGGTGGATGCAAACGAAGTATCAGTACAAGGGAGAAGGGTTGGGCAGTCGAACAATGGTTTCCTCCTGTCCCCTCCTTCCTTTGCCTTCTCTGATGCGGTTTGGGAGTGGGAAGAGATCGTGAGAATGAGGAAGGGGGGGGGGAGGCACTTTCTGGGGGCGGGGCACGAGGAGGAGGAACAAAAGAGGGGGGAAGGAGGTGGAAGAGGAGGATAAGGAGGAGCAGGAGGAGGAGGATATGGAGGAGGACGACGAGGAGGAAGAGGGGAAAGAGGAGGGCGAGGAGGGTTTGGATGAGCAGTGGGAGGGGGGGCGGGCGGGGGCTAATATCGGCGACATGTCCTTCAGTCGGTGGGAGGGACAGATGACTGGAGGCATAAGATGGTTGGAGGAGACGAGGTGGATGATACTTGATACTGACGAGGGATGACGGGGCGGAAGAGGAAGAGGAGGAGGAAGAAGAGGAAGAGGAGAAGGATGGCGAAGAGGAGGAGGAGGAGGGAGAAAGGTGCGCGATATATCTGTGCGTACGTAGAGAGAGAGAGGGGGAGAGAGAGAGAGAGAGAGACGGAGAGAGAGGGTTCCTTGGTGGCCAGGATGGAGGAAGACTTGATGATGATGGTGAAGGGGTGCATTTGCTGATGATGACGTTATTGCCGTTGGTGGTGATGGGCATGCTGACGAGCACAACCATGGTGACGATGATGATGGTGGTGATGCTGATGTAGATGATGGTGGTGATGATGATGAACATGACCATGATGATGATCCTGGTGATGATGATGATGCTGATGATGATGATGATGATGATGATGATGATGATGATGATGATGATCATCATCATGACCATGATGATGGGGATGATGGTGTCAATGATAATGATGATGATGCTGTTGATGTTGATGATGCTGATGCTGATGATGTTGATGATGATGCTGCTGCTGATGATGATGATGATTTTGATGATGATGATGATGATGATGATGATGATGATGATGATGATGATGATGATGATGATGATGATGACGGTGATGGTGATGGTGATGGTGTGGGTGATGGTATTGGTGCTGATGCTGAAGGCAACGGCGCGGCACGCAAGTTTCATGCAACAAGCGTACACGCACGACAAGGCCAACTCCAGGCATCGCCGTGCAGTCGCGTCGTGAGTGAGCGACTCGGAGCAGATACAGCAAGGTGCTCGAGCCCCCTCTCGGCGCGCGGGGCCCCGCGGAGTGCCACGGGGCGCGCCAGTGGCCCGATGGGCCGCAGCCGCCTCGGGGCTGCACGTTCAGGTCCCTCCAGGCCCCCCTTTCGTAATAGACCCTCGGGGTACACATCGGAAACCAGCACCAGAGCCTAGTATTTCACAGGCGGGGGGGGGCACTTCAGCACGTGCACACCGGTCTGACACTTTCAGGTCGGACATGGACATCATCCGCAGGCGCGATTCCTCCATTGCTTTCTAAAGGGGAAGCCTGATCAGGTCGACCTGAAACAGAAGCGCTCTCATCAGGACACCGCCACCAGGCTACGTAAGTCCAGAACAAGCTCCACCTTCGCCCTTACGGAGGTGAGTTCGCGAAACGTTTCGTAGACGCGATGTAATGGGGACCGCTATCGGGATCACAAGCCCACGAAGGTAATATCATTGATGACGGCGGTGGTGCTGGTGTGTGCGATCATTGTCTTTTTGAACAGATTTTATTTCTCAGCGCCTTACCTTGCGAGGGGGCACGATAGCTGATCTGGCAGAGGGAGAGTGACACAGGAACCTGAGGAACGGATGATGAATGTACAATGTTTGGGCCCCAAGGGCTCGACCAGGCAGGCAGGCCAACCGTGCTCAGCAGACCTCATACAATCCAAACAGGCGAAGCAGGCCCAACCCACCAACCACCAGAGTAAACATATTGTCCAGGCGATCTAGACTAACAGCACGAACCAGATCAAACAGCTCAACCAGACCAGACGATCGAACCAGCAGACCAATGAACAACCAGACCAGCCCGACCAGCAAAGCCAAACGAACCAACCAGGAGACCAAGCAGACCAACCATCTGATCGACCGGACGGAGTAGATCAGAACAGCCAAACTGGAGCGCAAATCACGTTGCAATGGAACCGCATGTTTTTTTGAACGGGGCGAGGACGCAGTTGGCTTCGCACCCTCCCTGGACCTCTCCAGACTACTCCCGTGTCAAACACGGGACCCGACGCTGAAGGTAGATTAGCGCAACACGAATGTCACCGCACATACATACAGCAACAGCCAGCATAACGTGCTTTGTGGCCGGGCCCTTGACCTCTGCAGACCGCTCTCGTCTTGCTCACGGAGTCCTCAGCTGAAGCTGACACGGCAAAGTTGCAGCCGACAAACGATTTCTCATCGAGGCTAGGGCGTCGTGCGGCTCACATCCTCCTTGCGCTTCTCCATGCTCGCATCACAATTGCGGAAATCTGGGCTGGAGCTGCAACACAAAACAGCGGCGCCCCGTTCGCGGCGCCGAACACCAACCCACTCGGGCGGCGAGGCCCGTGGTGACGAGGGTTGGAGGGTCCGTCCTGGGGCGTGAGCAGGGGCACCTGAGGCCCTGGGCCCCCTGGGCGGCACCTGCGCTGACCGCGTCGTGAGTCGTGAGACAACTGCGGCCCTCTCACTGCTCACCGCCTCTGTCACACCCAGCACGGCAGCACGAGAGAGAGGGGACTTGGGGAACAGGGGGACCGCCAGGGTACGGCAATAAGCCACCCAACGCAAGAAGCATTCGCATCGCATCGGCTCTGGTCGGGGCGGGGGCTCCCTCGGCCTCACGCTCGCCCTGGGCCTCTCCGCGCCATCTCTGTCTTATTCACGGAATCCCAGGCTGGAGCTAGAACAACACAGCTGCAGCCCCAGTGCAACATCAAAGGTTGCGCTTTTGATGCTTGGCGCCTCGCCGTGTGCTACACGGCATACCTTCATGACGATGATGGTGATGATGTGTCTGGTGATGATATTGATGATGATGGTGATGATGGTATGGGATTGTGATGGATGGTGTTAATGATGATGGCGATGACGATGATAATGATGGTGAGGATGATGATGACTCTGGTAATGATGATGATGATGATGATGATGATGATGATGATGATGATGATGATGATGATGATGATGATGATGATGATGATGATGATGATGATGATGATGATGATGATGATGATAATCATGATCATGATAATGATGAGGATGATGAGCATGATGATGATGATGATCATCATGATGATGATCATGATTGTGATCATGATGATGGTGCCGACGCTGACGACGAGGACGACGACGACCATAACGACAAGGGAAGCTTCTTTGCACGAGTGCGCAAGCCAATTCCAGGGCGTGGAGCTCGGCTGCAACAACAAGGCGATCGAGTTCCTGCCCGTGTCGATGAAGGTCGCGCTGCCTGCCGCTCGCCGATTGCCGCTCCCCGCCTCCTCCCCGAGGAGGAGGAGGAGGAGGAGGAGGAGGAGGAGGAGGAGGGCGGGAGGGAAGCATCGGAACATGGCAAGGCTACAGGGTCCACCTGGGTCCTCCCCCCCTCCCCCCTCCTAGAGAGGAGGAACGCATCCAGAGCAGGAGGGTGGGAGGAATGAGGAAGGAGGCGGACCGGCCAGGGTGCTCGGCTCCTGAAGGAGGAGGGAGGTGCTTCCTCTCGAAGCTCGAAGCTGGTGGCCTCTGATCCTCAGAAAGCAGGAAGGACTCCTCCTCCTCATCCCGCCCTGAACCCCCCGCTCACCCGACCGATCCCCCTCAAGGCCCTCAGCTCTTGGAGGACGTGCTCGGACTTGGCCCATGGGGCTGCCATGTCGGGTCGAGCACAGTCATCCCGCATAGAAAGGATGAGCAAGTTCACAAGGTTACCCTTACATCCTGCCCCTTCGGCCCATCCTTGGCCGCTTTCTTTGGCACGCCTGGCTCGCAAAGTGTCGACGTGAGCGACGTAACAAAACGGCGCCGTCTTCGACGACCTAGGCGCGTAGACTGTCCGCGTAAGCTCGGGCGTAAGCGCCCTCGCCTCAAGCGTAGCGTGCCGCGCTGGCGGCCCGCGTAAGCCACTCCGTAAGGCCGCTAGGTTTCTCGCGTAAGGCCCGCTTTAGATCGTCGCTCACTGTTGTGTTCCTACAGTGGAAGCCCATGCCAAGAAACACCCCGCTTGCTTCCAGGATGCCCAGGGTGTCTTGGGATTCGATGGTTCTACAATCGAAGCCGTGACGTCCCCGTACCAAAAGTCAATGGACGTCCTGGGGACTCAGGGTTGGGTTTCTTGTGTGGAAGGTTTCTTGTGGCCGAGCTCCTGCTGTACCCACTCCCCTCCGCCCAGGTCATGTTCCACTCGATGTTCGTGCTCTTCGTCATGGTGTCCGCCCGCGCCTACGGGCTCGAGAGGCTCGACGCCCCCAGGCTGACCGCGGCGGCACCGGGCCTCGGCGCGCCCCGCCTGCCCGCGCGCCCGCGACCGGTGCCTCCGCGGATCGTTCGGCAGACGGGTGGCGACCGCGGTCTTCCAGCGTCTGCCAGGCCCCTGCGAACGGGGCGTTCGCAAGCGGGGCGGTAGCGAAGGGGCCTCGTCGAGCGAGAGAACGGGCTGACAGGGCAGCTGCCTCGCGCTGGTGCGTGACAGATCGGGAGGACCAAGGCGTCGACCCATCATCACAGCTCTGGGGCGGGGGGGGGGTACCTCGCACTTCTGCGAAGCTTTTTTTGCGTTTGAGAACACCATTGGGATCGCACCAGCAGCTGCCGGCCCGTGTGCTAACGCCCCGCTTGCAGGGGCTTGGGGTCTTGATGACAACAGTCGGGAGTTATCAGATCAGGAGAGAAAAAACACACAGACACAATTAATCGTCGATTCCCAAGAAAAGATAGGAACATATGGGAATTGGGGGGGAAGACAAAAACCCAGAAAATATAGGAAGATATGGGGAATATGTTTATTTGTGTCTATTTATTTGTGTGCCCCAGTTCCCCTTCATCAGAGCGAGGGTGCCCGAGCGGTCTCGCTTCTCATCCCTGCGCGTGCGCGGCCGTCGTGGTCCCGTCTCTGCCCGGCGGGGGGGTCCTGGGCGGGGGGTCCCGGGCGAGGGGTCGTGGGCAGATCTGGGGCGGCAAAGAGGGGGGTGATGACTAGAGGGGGGGGATATCATGGCGGGGGCCATGATATTTCCCCAGGTTTTATGGCGCCTCTTCTTATTGCCGCCGGTCATGATTTGCATCCCCCCCCTCTTGGACACCCCCCTCATGGCCGCTCCCGATACTTCCTTCACCAGCACCTGCTTACCAGTTCGGACCTCCAGCCCGACTCCTAGGTGCTGGAGCAGCAAGGTCCAAAAATGCACGGACTCGCGGGTTCGGTGCGAGCCCTCTCCCGAAGCGCTCGAGCACGTCACCTCCTGCACGCGTCGGAGGTGGGCACTCTTTTTCCAGCTTCACAGCTCTTCTTGTCCCCAGGCTCCACACCGAAGGCGCAAGAGCTGGGCCCGCTGGACCCCCGAGGTTTGGCGACCCGAGGCCAACTGGGACCCTGAAGGAGCCACACACTGGTGGCCAACAACATGATGGCTGAAGGCTGCTGAAAATCTCGGTGTGGCTCCGCAGTCCGCCATAGGCAAATTACCTGCCTGCGAGCCGACACCTAAGCACTGGCTACACTGCCACCCGAGCGCTCCCCAACCCCAGTCGTGCCACCCAGTCCTCACCACCCTCCGACGTCGTCCAATCGCCGTCGGCCGCTGCCAACGAGTGGTGTCGGACGTCTCGAACAAGGGAAGCACCGCCGCCGCAAGCTTAGCATACTTACGCTGGCGCTCTCTTCTCTGCAAAAGCTCGAGAGCGTGGCGGCAAGGCGGAGCGGGAGACGGGTGGAGGCACGCAGCAGGTCTGGCCGTTCGATCAGCACCGTAGCTTGCTAGGGTGACTCGTCTGCCAGCCTCTATTTGATGCATATATCACTTGCATGCCTCGATGGGCCTTGACATGTGACATTCCAGTGTGCCGATGGCCAGGGAGCGACCAGGCGACTCTATCACACCCATCTGATTCGAAGCTCTCAGCTGCCTATCCACGGGGCTCTGATACTGCCTGAAAGCACTCATACAGTCTACTGCCACAGAACACGCTCGATCAGCAATCTGCGCCGTCATGCACAGGGTGACAGGTTCTGCTGCACTGGGGGTCTGAGGAAGGCTACCTGGGACGACACCCTTCATGATTCCTACGGCTTGGCCTCCTGGCGACTGTACAAACATGGACCACGTCGCACGCTCCAGCTTACGCAAATCTGGCTCCGTGCACGAGCCATCCACAGCTAGCTCTAGCACGGCTGAACCGCCAAGTTCGCCAGCTCATCTACTCTCATATTGAGTTTCTCACCACCCCCGTCCTCAATCACCACGACCTTGGAGGAAGAACAAGACGGAGGAGAGATGCAACTCTCATCGTACAATCATAAGCCTTGCGTGAAAATCGAGCCGTCCGATTCTAACGCCATGTGCAGAACATCTGTTGGGATCTGTGCTTCTGCTCGCGCTGCTACCACCTGCGGCAACGTGAGGTCAGGCGGTGTTCGACGATACCTTCGCGCCCACACTCGCACATACCGTCGGTCAAGTAGCCGGCTATCTTCGCGCGACTCCGAGTCCACAGACCGTTGCACGAGCAGTTGCTTGTCAATTACTGTAGATGCTTGCAATACTGCTTACTGCCAATACTGCTTACTGCCAGAGCTAACCACTCGCTGGATACAATCAAAAGAAGCACGCATCTGCACAGGCCCACCTTCGCTAATCACTCTCGGCTCAACACCTGTCATGGAAAGCGCAAGCTCATGCTGTCGTTAAACACTAGCATGCAGCAACTGGCCAAGGAGGCTGGGCCGCATCTCCGCAAGATCCACCTTGCACCCACGATGTTCAGTCCAGCTCGCAGCACTCTGGATCGTCGAGCCTGCACGCCACACCGACAGGACTGCTCGACGCAGCGGCCCGCAGCGATCTGCCCAGCTCCGGTCAGGATCACGATCAGTTTGAACCGCCGCCCACAGACGCAGCAGATAGCTGGTGCTGACCATGGCGTGCTTACTAGTGTTGACAACCCATCGCACTCTGACTGGAGGAGACACAGCATGGCATTTCCATTTCCACGAAGAATAATTTTGGCTGACACGCTGGCACCACCATGAGCAGGTAAGTGGCTGTGCGCATGCGTAGCTCGCAACTTAGACCACTCAGCATCACCAAGTCCAGCACCTGATTATCTTGTTGCATGCTTTGGCTTTATCCAGCAAGCGCCTTGCCAAACCTTCGGAGCTTCCTCAGCCTGAACACGAACTTCCTCTGTCGCTTCTGGCGCTGAGTCCTGGCCCCCCCGTGCCTTGCGCTTGCTGCCCTCGGTGAAGTTTGTGCCGACGTACGTAGCATTGCGCTTCGCCGCCGACTCAGAAAGCGCCGCTGCCTTCGCCACCCGCTTAGCCAGCTCCAGCGACGTGTTAACAATGGTTTGCTTATCATTGATCTTCGCCTCACTGGCATCACAGGCGTCGCTGAAGTCGTTGCAGGCTTTGAGGGCAAGGGGCACGACCATCTCCTCCCTCTTGCCTGACACTCGCATGCTATCATCGTCAACGTGGCTGCGGAGGATCATCCAAGCCGTGTCGACGGCCAGTGCGTCGAGGGCGGTGTCCGCGGCCCGTGGCGACGGGAGGCCCCCCCCCCACTCAGGTGCCCCGCGCCCCCGCCCCCCCCCCCCCCAAAAAAAAAAGCAAGGCCAGCAACAGCTCAGCATCCCGTGCCTCCTCCTCCTCCGCCTCCTCCTCTGCCCCGCGGCGCCGGAAGAGGCAGGACCGAGTCGGGCCAGCAAGCAGCAGCAGGGTGGGAGGCGGTCCCCACGTATCTCTGCCAGCCTCTGGACAGCGCCGTTGGACCCTCCTCATCGTCCTCCTCCTCCCCTTCCTCCTCTCCTCCTCTTCCTCCTCTCCTCCTCCCTCTTCCTCTTCGTTCCTCCGTCCTCTTCGTCCTCCCCCCCCTCCTCTCTCTCTCCTCCTCTCCCCTCCTCCTCCTCTCCTCCTCCTCTCCTCTCCCCCCCTCCTCCTCCTCCTCCTCCTCCTCCTCCTCCTCCTCCTCTCCTCCTCCTCCTCCTCCTCCTCCTCCTCCTCCTCCTCCTCCTCCTCCTCCTCCTCCCCCTCCTCCGTCGACCGGCCACATGCGGCAAAGGTCCTGATCCTGTGCGGCGGCGTGCTCCAGGGCTGGAGCGTGGAGCGGCGTGACGCCGCGGGTGCGGCGTCGCGCTCGATGGAGGCCCAGCACCTCCACGGCGCGCTGCTGATGCTGGGCGCGATGCTGCTCGGGTCGCAGCGGTGGGCGCTCATCCAGATTGTGATGCAGCGGTCCTCGAAGCAGACCACATGACACGAGCAGAATCTTTCGGAGCTCCACGCGGATTTCTTGGATCTGCGCTGGACACCCATACAGTGATCCCGCATAGTAAGGATGGGCAGCCTTCCCAAGGATACCCTTGCATCCTTGCCCCTTCGGCCCATCCTTAGCCACCCTCGCTGGCCAGCCAAGTTCGAAAAACGCTACTGTGGCCCTCCAAGGCCCTTGCATCCTTACCTCGCATCCTTATGATACGGGTTGACTGTACCTTGGCGCAATGAGCGCGCCAGGGGGGCGGCGCCTGAGGCGACACCAGGGGGTCCAGCGCCGATCCAAGAATATCCGCGCTGAGCTCCGAAAGTCTACCCCCATGCAGTTGTTTGCTCCTCCAGGTCCCCTGCCTCCTCGGCCCTGGGCCACCTGACGAAGCTGCAGTTCGTCTCGCGGGTCCTCCCCGTGTCCGGGTTCGTGTGCCTGCTGCTCGCCGTCATCTGGGAGCAGCCCGCCTTCGCGCCGTCGGCCCTGGCGCAGCCAACTCTGCGCAGCGGCGTGCCTGGCGTGGCCCTCTGCATCGTGCTGCTCACGATCACGGAGCTGGGGGGACAAGAAGGGACCCTGAGATCCAGGCGTTGCAAGTTCTTGCACCGCAGATCGATCAGGCTCGGATAATGCAGCAGAGAGGTGGGGTGTATGGCTCCAGTCGTGATCGGATCTCGGGGTGCCGCTGCCCCCGGGACCTTTCCAGGGCACGTTCCGGCCAGCATGTCGGAGAGAGTCGGGCCGTGGCGGCGAGAGCTATCCAGGATGAGCAGCGGCCTCGCCGCGACCCCGCTGGGCGCGATAGCTTGCCACCGCCACCATGATCCCATCACCCGCTTGACGAGTCATTGCAGTCAGGGAAGGTAGTGGCGACGAACCTGGATGTCCACGCCACCGTCGTGAGCACGAAGGTGTCTACTGTAAGGTAATTGGCCTGGCTGTGACGGTTGTCCAGGCTGGCCGCCAACGAGCTCAACGTCGTCGTGGTCCTCTGAGGGGACGGCTGCATCCCATGGGTAAGGCGTGCCAGGTGCTCGTTCTCCTGCAGGGGCTCGAGGGGCACTGCGCTGCCTTGCAACAGGCTCGCGAAGCTCCTCAAACTGCTTGCTGAGAAAAGCCATGTACGGTAGGTTCGTGTTGTGTCGACAGGCGGCGACCCCGCCAGCGGCGTTCAATTTTGAACGCCGCGGGCGACCCAGAATCGTTCGATGTGGAACGATTTGGACATTTCGGAAACGGCCGATCGTTCAAGGTTGAACGATCCCCGCGGTGTCAGAAACCAACGCCGAAGTCGGCACGACGCGAACCTGCCGTGGGTAATTTTGTTCCCCGACGTGACCGTCGGAGCTGCGTCGACAATCCTGCCCAACTGGTCAATGGCACCATCAACGCCATCTTCCGCGTGCCAACTGCCCGAGGTGCCGACGCCATGGCTGCAGCCCTTGCCGCAGCAATCCGAGTGTCGATCGCCTCGAGCTCCTTCTCGGTCGGGTCATGGTCGGCCTGCTTCCTGGTGCAGCTCCCCTTGAGCTCACTAACCTGCCCACGCAAGCCCGTGACCTCCCTGGTCTTCTTGCGCATGGAGGTCCACTGGCCGTCGATGAAAATCAGGTGGTGTGCGCGTGGCGCGCTCGGCCTCTTCTGCCTCTTGTAGCTCACGGCGTGCAGGTGCGATGAGGGCACTCGAATCGTCCAGGCCAGGGCGACGCAAGGCTCCAAGGGCACTGCGAGCTCGTGCGACCGAATCCGACACTGCGGGGGCTCATCTGCAGGCTCAGGTCCATCGTCGCCCTCTTGCTCGCGGCTTCCACGCGGCGGCCGACAGGCAGACCGCCGTGGGGGCTGGCGAGCGCGGTGGCCCCTGTCGATCAGGGCGTCCTGCGAAATCTGGTTGTTCCTGCCCGGTCTCGCCCGCACACATAACACCTGTCGTTGGAGGCGTAGTTGCGTGTGTAGCCGCACTGCCTAGTCGCAGGGCAAGCCCAGCGAGGATCAGTCTTGTTGCCATCCTCGCGCCCCCGCGTTCTCTTTCACAGGCGGCTGCGAGCCGTGATGGCGACGCAGCAAGAGTCGGGAGGCCTCCACCTCGAGCGTGTGCCTGGCTTCACTGCGCCTACGACGCAGCCGACGACGCCAAGCTGGCGACGGTGACGGAGCCCTTGCAGCCGACGCAGCGCCCTGCAGCCACCAGCCAGGGCAGCACGGGGCGGCGGCGCGGCGGCGCCGCGTGCGCAGGGGGCCATGGCGCGCGGCGGGCACCCTGCTGTGGGAAGGGCGGGCGGCACGGCAGCGGCGGCCCCCTTGTCCCCTTCGTGACGAGAAAGGAGGAGAAGGCGGAGGCGGAGGCGGAGGAGGAGGAAGTGGATGAGGAGGAGGAGGAGGAGGAGGAGGAGGAGGAGGAGGAGGAGGAGGAGGAAGTGGATGAGGAGGAGGGAGGAGGAGGAGGAGGAGGAGGAGGAGGAGGAGGAGGAGGAGGAGGGGAGGAGGAGGAGGAGGAGGATCTGTTCGCCCTGCGTGAAGCTTCTCTCCCTCGTGAGGAGCTGGGCGTGGTGCGGCGGACGTCGGCGGTGGCGCTGCAGGTCCTCGCGACGCTGCACCAGATCCCGATCGCCTTCATCGGGGCCGCCGTGTTCCACGAGACCGTCGGGCCCCTCAGGAGACCGCTGTTTTTCCCAGGACCCGGCGATGCGGTGGGGGCGCCCGTTGAGGAGCGTGCCCAGGGAGGCTTCGGACCCAGGACGGTTCCTTGTCTGAGGAGGGCGGCGGCGGTGTCCACGGCCTGTCCACGACTTGATTTCCACTGGCTCCCAGGCCCTGGAGTCCTTGTCCAATGGTTCCGTAGATCTACGGCCTTCGTTGTAGCCGGGGTTATCGGGACCGCCTGCCCCATCCCCCTCTTCCCCCTGCATAGCCTAAGACCTTGGAAGCTGCGCAGGTCCGAAGGGGGTGCATGCTATTGGTGCGCGCGGGCGCACGCGGGCCTGCCCAGAGCGAAGAGGTTAGGCTATTCGAGTGGGGGATCGACTACGGAATTGATTTACCCCAGAGCTGGTTTCTCCGTCGACTTCTAGAGAATCACGAACAATGTTCCGTGGATCTACAGAGAGAGCATTCTGCGCACTGTTCGCAGATTCGGCATGGAAATCAATTTCGAGATACATCAATTCTGTAGTCGATCCCCCATCCGAGTTATCGGTCGCCCCCCCCCTCACCCCAGCCGATAACCCAGGCTATCGCTGAACAATTATACTTGATCTCCAGCCTCGCCGGCTTCGGCCTCTGCGTGCTGGCCGCGCTCGTGTACGCGTTGGCGCGCAGGCGCGAGCGCGAGGAGCATCATCGGAGGAAAAGGCACCGCTGCCGCTACCCTTGCCTCGTTTTCGCCGTTGGGGGGCCTCCTGGGAGGCCCTCGTCGCCACGGCTGGATTTCGCCGCGGAATTCTGGTCAGAGCGCACTCCTGGAGAGGTCCAGCGAGTTGCGGCATCGGTAACACTTACACTTTCGGAGGTCCGCGCGGGGTTGCTTGGATCGGCGCTGCGCCCCCCTCCCTGGGGCGTCCAGCGCCGATCCAGGCAATCTGCGCGGACCTCCGGCAGTTCATGTTTACGTTGGGGAACTTTGGTTAGCGCGTCGCTCCGCCGGTTCTGGCTCACAACTCCTCGGTGCGACACACTATTGTCCGCCTCTGGGTCTCCAAACGCCTACGTATGTCCCGAGCTGTTCCCAGCTCGCGGGGCGGGAGCGACACGCTATCCACTCGCAGGGCAGAGCGTGTCGCTGGGGCCGCCGCCGCGACACGCTAAGCAAACGCTGTCGACCGACTTTTGGATGGGGCAATCATCGTACAACCCCTCGGATCCACGGGGGGCGGCACATGCTGTCAGAACGCGCGGAGGGGGTGTTGGAGGATGTGGAGGAGCAGCAGGAGGAGCAGGAGCAGGAGCAGCAGGAGTCCGTAGCCATTTTGGCTCAAGGCTAAACGTTGTGAAGGGCTATGGACGCCTGAGAACCAGCGATTAGCTTTGGCCTATCCGTGGCCACTCCCAAGTGCAGGCCCCAGGTGGCCTTCTCATTCACTTTCTGATCAATCCCAGGCCTGTGCAAGGCCCACTTAGATGCCCGCTCATGCCCAACGCGATGCCGAGCGTTCCCCTGCCGAAAAGTCTGCCCGCATTGTCGTGTCGGAAGCCGACGAGGAGGCGGCTCACGAGCTCCTGGGTCATATGCCTTCCAGTCGTCCTGACCCTCTTGCTTCGCACGATCCGTGGAAAGCTCGTGGAAAAGGGAGTCACCAATCTTGGAGCCCCACCTCGTCGTGACCTTGCCTCCCCCGCTCGTGGTCGCGCGGCAGCCCGCCCACCTGATGCATCGTCTGCAGCTTCTGGCTCAACAGCGACAGCACCCCCCTCTGCACAGTCGATTGATGACCTCGCCTCCTTCAAGCGTGAGATTCAGGGTGCAGTGGACTCCCAGATCAATGATGTCAAAGTGGCGATCGTTCAGGAGATCTCGACGCACACAACGCAGTTGGTCAAGACGGTGGCGGCCAATCAGGACCGCACGAACCAGCAGGTGCGAGGTGAGTTGGATCAGTTGCATGCAACGCAACACTCTCTTTCACAAGATCAGAACGCAATGCGTGACGATATTGAAAAGATGCGCAAAGAACTCTTCTTGGCAGAGCGCATCACCCCAATCAAGGACTTCAGCGACCTCGAGAACTGGGATCGCGACCCAGATCCAACCATCCTGGTGGCCAACCTGTCGCACATTGCTGCGCAGGCGGAGGTGGAGAGGGAGCTCACGCCCTGGCTTCAGGAGGCGGGCTTGCAAAATGGGCAGTGGAAGATTCATGGCAGCTCGCCAGGTCGTCACTACGTCATCCAGATGGCAGGAGATCCAGGCGCAGCCCAGCGCAAAGTTCGTGCCGCGCGTCGTGCGCTTCGCAGCTCGGAGGGGGTCTGGAAGGACTTCTCGGTTCCTGCTACAGAGGGTGGACAAGCTCGCGTCTATGTGGGTGTGGACAAATCACCGAAGCAGGTGCGGATGGAGGTGCAAACGAAAAAGTTGGCGCAGATCACGAAGGACATTCACGAGACGGCGAGGGTCAAGCACGACAGGAACAAGGGAGTGGTCTACATCGATGGGGTGCCCACGGTGTCGGTGTCTCCTGGAGATTCGGTTTCGGCGCGTTCTCGTTTTCTCTGGAACTATGCTGCAGTCACTGACAAAGGTGTGGACCAGGCGAAGGTGCAGGAAGCTTTCAATTCTCATTTCTATACGGAGGAGCGGGCAGTGCAGTGGCGTATTTAACCAGCTGCTGGGAGTGTGCGCCAACGCGAAGGGACTGGGCTCGACGGAGATGGTGCGATTGGGAACATGGAATTGTCGTGCTCTGCTACATCATCAACATGATATTCGACAGAGGAAGTGTGACAAGCTTCGAATGTTCCTGCAAAAGAATGACATTCTGGGTCTTCAGGAAGTCAATGGTACGGAGGCGGAGTTGGCCTTTCAGTTATACTTGCGCAGGCTGGACTATGCGATGGTGGGATCAATTCCAGAGCATGCTGCCGGTGGCGTTGCATTTACTCTGCCGTGCATGACACAACAGACGTTTGATGACGGAGTCGCCCAAGGTCGGTTTCGGCACACTGTCCTTGTCCCTGGGCGCGCGCACAGGTTGGCTCTCAAGGCTGAAGGTGCTCACCCGACCGTCGCCGAGATGACGCAGGGCGAACACTCACAGAGCATGCTGGCGTTCTACAATATTCACAACTATGGCCTCACAACTGATCAGGTGGATTCTCTCACGGCGCGTATCAAGGCCGAGATTGATGTTGCGGCGGCGGCTCCACATCGTGTCACTGTGATGGTTCTTGGAGACTTCAACTTTGCGATTGATGCCCCCATGTACTTGCAGGTTCCCCTCATAGACAAGGGTGTACATGTGCAGCCACGGCAAAGGGAACACGGCTCATCTTGGTGGGAATCGCCCTCTGAGTTGGTGGAGCTGGATCCTGAGCGCCCGACGCACTACATGGCGGATGAGCAGCGGCTGTCAGCGCTTGACAGGATCTCCACGTCCATTCCGCCGTGGCTGCTGGCCGTCAATGGAATTTGACGGCTACTGTGTTGGCGACGCCTGAGTCATTGCATGCAGGTGGCATCTCCGATCATGCACAAGTCTCAGTCTCGTTCTCGCCGCGACCTCTACGACCTCCAGATCAGCTGCCTTTTCCTGCCTTCATCTGTGGAACTCTGGAGTTCAAGGAAGCACTGGATTTGGCCACCCAGCAGTCGAATCTATTGAGGCTCCCGCCCATCCCGAAGTGGCGTGAAATGAAGAGACTGATCCGCGAGGCCTCTCGTATTGCGAGGGGCCGTCTTACCTCTTCCTCTTCCTCTCCCCTTGAGGCTCGTCTCCTCACCTTCCGTTCGATTTCCAGGGCGGCTCATTTTGATGATTTGCGTCTGGCTGAAACGCTCCTCTCTAGGACTCAGTTTGCTGCGGATCATCTGCTGGTTGATGCCTCGACTAGCACGGTGACCCTGAAGGACCCTGTGACGTTTCGGAGGCAATCCGAGAGTCTGCGTCCGGAGATTTCTGATGCTCGCATCTCTGCTGTTGCCGCGCAGTCTCAGAACCCCAGCACGCCGTTCCACGAGAAGAAAAGGCTTCGAGCGTATATGAAGGCTGAGAGGCGCAGGGGGAAACTGGGCTCCTAAGGGGAAATCCCTCCCGCTCCAGGCCCTCGAGGACCCCTCCACTGGCTCCCTTCTCACCTCCCCGTCGGACATGTGTCAAGACCTCAAGGCCCAGTGGACCCTTGTTTTTGCGTCTAAGACGGCCCCGCTCGAGAAGCTGAAGAAATACCTCTCGCTTAACGTGAAGCCGTTTGACTGGTCGACAGTTGTGCCGCCCACGCAATATGATATAGAGCGATTGATTTCCCGTGCTTCGCCGACTGCCCCAGGGCCCGATGGGATCCCATATGCGGCCTGGAGGCGCGCGAAGTTAGCACCTGTCATTCTTCATGACCTCCTCCTTGTGCTCCTCAGTGGCTTCCCCCCTCCCGTGGAGCTCAATGAGCTTTTACTGGTGTTCGTTCCGAAGGGACATAGGTTGGAGGACTCATCGTTTGTGGTCCGAGAACCGGCCACGACTCGGCCTTTGGCATTGAAAAATACGGATGCGAAGATCTTAGCCTCGGCCTGTAACCATAGTCTCAAGCGGGCGTTGACAACAGATGCCCACCCTGATCAGCGGGGATTTGTGGCGCAGCGCAATTTCCTAGACAACATCACATTGTTGGACACTAGCTCCCGCATTGCTAGCATGCGTCCACAGGCGAAAGATGCGATGCCTGCGCTCTTGCTTCTGGACTTTGGAAACGCCTTCCCCTCTCTGACTCACCTCTTCCTCTGGCATCTTCTTGATGCTATTGCTCCCCCAATTGGTTTCCAGTACTTCACGGCTGCCACGTACATGTTCGCCTCTGCGTGCGTCTCTCTGCATGGTGTTGTTTCGTTTTTCTGCTACATCCAGTCAGGGGTGATGCAAAGAGATCCACTCAGTGGCACGATGTGGGCACTCTGTATGGACCCCATAATTCGAGACATTCGCAAGCGGCTAAATAAGTATCCTGGGTCGGAGGTGGGAGCTTGTGCGGACGACGCGGGGGTTTCGATGGAGGAGTTGGACGCCCTTGCGAAACTCTCGGGTTTTTTTTCCTTTTTTTTTTATGCGGCGCAGGTGTTCGCTGGCCTTCAGTTGAAATCCCGAAGTGTAGGCTCATCCCTGTAAGCGAAGGCTTTTCGTTGGACCTCCAAAAGCGAGTTGGTACTAAGCTAGCAGCTGCTGTCCCTCGGTGGAAGGACCTTCCCATTGTCGAGTGTGCAGAATATCTTGGAGTGTGGATCGGCCCAGCAGCGACCAGAGAGAAGTTGTGGTCGAGGGCGTTTCGTGAGTGGTGTGGTGTCATACAGGAAGCTGCTGCTACTGAGGCCGCCCCCTCCATCAGCACTCACATGTATAATTCGCGTGCTGTCTCGAAGTTTGCGTACCTGGCTCAGCTGACTCCCGTCCCAGAGGCGATAGTCAAGTGGGAAAGTTGGGCTCTCCATCGCATGTTGCATCTGCCCTCTTGTGCTCTCCCGCTCTCGGCCCTTCATGGCTTGCGCTTGTGGGCTAAGCTTCGTCCCCAGTCGATGCGCATAGTCACCACTGCCACTCTTGTTCGCTCTGCCATTGTTACAATACAGAACTGGCGTAGCCTCTGGTCTAGGTTGCAGGAGATAGGTCGCGAGGCGCTGCTGCTGGTCTCGTGGGTGGCGAGTTCCTGGTCTCCACCGCACTGGCAGGCCCGCCCATGTGTGCAGGAGTTGGCAGAGGCGGAGGCGTCGTTTCCCTCTATGCCACGCATTTCGTCTGCTGTCTCATCTGCCCGTCTTGCTCTCTCGGCTGCGCGCAGGGAGGACCCTGCTACTCCTGTCCAGCGCAATCTCACGATAAGTCTTGAGCAGACCCTTCTTAGCGATGGTCTTGCGAGCACGATTGCGAAGCGTATCTCGAAGTGGGCCTCGAGGCCGCCATCAGCTCGAGCTCTCCAGGCTCTTTCTTGGCCTGATCTGAAGCAAGTCATGTTGACCATGCCGCCTGCGTGGCAGTTCTCGATCATTCGCACGTTAGTCGGGGGTTGGACGACGGAGAGGAGGATGTGTCAGAAGGATGCGAAGTGCCTGTTTGAATGTCCGTCGGAGATGGATGATCAACAGCACTACTTGTCGTGTCCGACGCTCTGGGGTCTTGTTCAGTCTCACTGGAAAGCAAACCTTCCGATAGAGCACCATCTCGGCAAGAGGCTCGGTCTGGCTCGTCGGATGACGCCTGAACAGAGAGCTTTGGCGCTGCATCGGTTAGTGATTGCGTTTTATGCATATAATCACAGGCGTCAAGGTTGGCCGGTGGCTGACTCGGTTCGTGCTGCCAGAGCGCAGCTGCTACAGCAGGTAGATGAGTAAGGACCCTTCGAACCCTCGTTGCGCCTTTGGGCATGTGCGAGGAGCAGGAGCAGGAGCATGAGGAGGAGGTGGAGGAGGAGGAGGAGGAGGAGTGGTGGCTGCGCCGACCTCGACCCCGAAGCCAGTAGCTAACAGAGAAGAGGAGCATACCATATCCTCATGGAATCCCTGTGTAGACTGATAAGTCATTAACGTGAGGAGCTTGACTGTATTCCGAAAGGCTCCTCCGAAACCAGACGACTGTCAATGCGAGCCTTCCAAAGGCTCACAGCAAGCACTGCACTGGCCGACTGGCGCCCCTGAAAGCCTACGAGCACGCAGCCTTCAGCTGGGGCCAGTACATCAGGTGCGGCGACCCCTTCCCATTCCCGCCTACGAGAGCTCACCCCACGCCTCCCCCTCCCAGGTAGTCGGCCTCCGCGGCCACTATCCGAAGAATGGCCAGAAGTGGTCGGGATCTCGGGAGACGCCTCGGCCGCAGATCCCTCTGGAAGACTCTCGGGCGGTCTCTGGGCCACGCTGTCTGTGGCTGCGCATGGCTGGCACTGCCTGCTGCCGCTGAAACTGCTTCTCGTCATCTCACGCCTCCTCCCAACAGTGCCTCTGCTGCTGCTGCCTACCTGCGGCCCAGGAACTTCGGAAGCTCTCGCTCCAGCGGGCCGCGGGGCGCTTCCCCAGGGAGGAAGGATCCCCCCTCCGTTGCCGCGGGCATCTCCACCGTCGGGCCCACGATGGCGCCCAGCGAACGGTGGAGGTCCATCTTGAAGAGAGGCGTGCACGCTGCCTTCTGCCCCTCCGCCTTGCGGTGGAGCCTCACCCTGAGGAGCTGGGCTGCGCGCCCGACTCCGGACACGCCGCACTTGCTGAGCGTCTCGTCCCACAGCGTTTCCATCTCCTGTTCGTGCTTCTCTCTTTTGTGCCGTGCCTCTCAGTTCATCTCTTCTGCAACTGCTTTGGTGGCTCCGTATTCCCAAACTGCCAAGAACATGAGATGAGGTGGGCTTCTTTCTTTGTGATTCATGTGTTCTCCAGCGCGTTGGCGCACTTGTTCATCTATTTGCCCTGCTCTTTGTATCGAGCTCCTATTGCGACTGCCGCGGCGATCATGCCCTGACCAGCGCGCACCTCGTATGGTAGATAACAACCGGCTCCAATCTGGGCTAGCTCTCGATTGTTGGCTAAGACCAGCGTGCAGATGGCTCTGATGATCTTGTCGAATGGATGTTGCCCTGGGCCTGGCCGCCAGACGCCTTCGGCTTGAGCTTCTTGGCGTCGGGCTCGACTGTGCCACCAGCGGGGACCAAGATGAGGAGGGGGGGTCGCTGGGCAAGGCCTCCCCCCCTTGATAAATGCTCTAGCCCGCGACCCTCCTGAGGTCTGGATCAGGGGCAGTTCGACTGAAGGCTCGTGGAGGCTTTACAGGTTGTCGCTGCTGCGTCGCTGTCATTGGTTGCCTCTAGAGAAGAGGAGGAGGAGAAGGAGGAGGAGGAGGAGGAGGAGGAGGAGGAGGCGGAGGAGG